ATCTTTACCAACTCTTCTTTCGGTATCTGAAGTAATTCTGGCATATTCCAGTTATTCTCACGTGGTATTTTCTTCTTTTTCTTTTCTTCGGGGACTTTTTCTTTTTCTTCTTCTTCTTCAGGGCTATATGAATTACATAATGGATGTTCAACATGTTCATTCACAGTCGTAACTTCCTCCTCATTATTATCAACAACATTTTCCTCGGTAGCGTCTGTTTCATCATCAAAATTCGGGTATTGACCAATATCAAAATCATTACACGCAGGGTATGTTTCTTCTTTTGAAACATCATCAAAATTCGAGTATTGGCCAAGATCAAAGTCCAGGTATTGACCAAGATCAAATTTCGAATACTGACTAGTACTCACAATTTTTTCTGTTGGCTCATAATCGTCTAACTGGTCAATACGAAAACTGGAATTTGGTGCTGAAAGTTGATTGGGATTTGGATTAGGAAAAGGTTGTGGGTTTTGATATTGTGTTTGGTATTGGAAATGTGGTGAAACAAAATTTTCTTGGTGATGAAATTATGGTGGAACTATTAAATTTTGAGGTTGATAACAACGTTGTACATTGTGAGCACCATAAACTGGGGTTGAAGAACTTAGTTGATTACTACCCGCTACTGACCCAACTTCACTACTTCTAGGTTCAACAACATACAATGTAACATCATCTTCTTGCGAAAGACTAATGTAAGCAATGAATCGTTCAACATCTTCATTGTCGGTTAACAAATAAACTTTACCTTTTCTTTGATAAGATAGCCTAAATCCACTTAGAGGCTCTAAATTCAATTTCTTTGCAACACGTAACATTAGAGTTTCATAAGTTAACTTTTTTAATGACAGTTTTAGTTGAAGATTCATGGGTAAAGGCATATATTGTAAAACACCATGAACATTCTCTCATGACCCTTAAAAATACAAATCTATCCAAGCATGATAAATATTAGATGATTTCATTCTACAAATTGTAAATTAATTTACTATACAAACGAGCTATAAACTACATATCATCACTAACTTAGAGAAAAACATACCTTTATTAAGTTGATAGTTGATAATTTGGGAGAGAAATCATCGAAAAATTATATAGAAATAAAATTATGTAAAAAAAAATTAGAGATGGGGAAGGATGTCGTTGGATATAGGAACGGATGACGCCGGGGAGAGTGATAGATGGAGATGGAATGAGTTGCGATTTAGGGATATAGGTTATGAGTTGTTGCTGTTGCGTAGTTATATACCTAAAACATTTGTGTTGTGAAAATAAAACCTGGTGCGAAATTAAAATTCGTGTTGCGAATTCGAAAATCGAGTTGCGAATTTGGAAACTGTGTTGGAAAATTGGAGTTCGCGTTGCGAATTTGTTGGTTATTTTCGCAAATCCAAAAAAAGTTGGTTACAATCGTATATTATAAGGCATTTTCGGTCACTAAAGTTATTTTCTCTTAATTTAATGGTGTAATATAAAAATTTGAGGGTGTGAATCAATGACATGTGGGATTCCCTACAATGTGGACAGAGCAAAAAAAATGAAGCATGACCCAAAGATCAGTTAAGAGGTGAAAAAAGCATGGTTTTCAGAATCGGACCGGTTAGCGAACCGGTCATGTTATCGGTTCACTGGTTCAACCGGTCAAACCGGTTCGACCGGTCGGAAAAACCGGACGATGTCATAATTATTTAAAAAATTAAATAAAAATACCAAAAATAATTTTTTATATCACAAATCATATTCAAAGCAAGTCATATCATATATAAGTTAAAAACCATAAAATCAAGTGAAACAAAATGATTCAAATTAACTACAATATAATATTTAAGGTAAAACATATTAAATAATAAATATAATTATATAACTATAATTAAAAAATAAATTTGGGGTTAAAAAAACATAACAAAATGATATTGTTTGGTTTAATTTTTTTTAAAACAATCTTACATGGCTAAGAAACATAGAAGAGCATCCCAAAAGCCTAAAGAGTAAAAATATGAGAACAAAACAATCTCACATTGCTAAGAAACATAAAAGAGCATCACAACTAACTTCTATAAATAATAGAGGTAATTTGGCATTCAAAATCATGGAGCCTTTTGGTGAGCATTGAGTGAACTATTCTTTCACTTCAATCAAGCTCGAATTTTAGGCTTCAATCGAGCTTCTAAATTTTTTTTAGTTCAAGTCTTTTTGAGTTCAAGTTTCAATATTATATTTCGAGTTTGAGTTGAACTTGATATTTTTTAGCTTGTGAGTTTGAGTTGAGTTGAGCTTACTTTTAAAGTTTTCAAGTTCGAGTCGAGCTCAGCAATACTCGAGTTCGACTTGGCTCGTTTAACAAACGACGTTGTTTGGTTTAATTTTTTTTTTAAATAAAAATCCCGATTTTTTCTAGTTTTCAGCCGGCCCGGTTCGAACGGTTCAGCGATTCTGACCGGTTCACTAATAGCGGTTCAACTGATTTAGATTAAACCAGACTAAACAACGGTTCCCGAGTGAACCGTCCGGTCCGATTTTCAAAACAGAGGGAAAAAATTAGAAAAATCATCAATTGGTGGATGGAAATTTTAATTTATGTAAATGCAACCCAATCAAATGATTAGACAATTGATTAGTCTCGTGGAGATATGTGTGTATACTTTGAAAATAAATTAATATTGTTATATAGAAAATACTATTCCACTATGTATGATCATAATTCAGAAACAAAGATATAATTATACACACAACTAATTGCCTAAAGTATAGTAATGGTCACGGAACATTTCTGAAGTTTACATTTAGGTCCCTCAACTTTTAAAATTTGTAATACAGTCCCCCAACATTTATTCCGTTTGCAATATGGTCCCCCAACTTAAATCACTGTTAGAAAATTAGGGTAAATTATATAAATGGTCATTGAACTTTTCAGGCACTTGAATTTAGGTCCCCAACTTTTAAAACTTGCAAAACAGTCCCCCAATAATTTTATTTTCTTATTAAATATAGATGTATAGAAAATATAAATGATTCAATTTATATTTAAATGTATGAATCATTTATATTTTTGATATATTTTATTTTTCTTGTATAAACTAGTATTTAAAATATGTTTATATTTTAATCAAAATATTTCAATATACGAATAAAAATATATTTATATAAATGTATATTTATATTTAAATGTATAAATAAAAAAATAATATATTCATATATTAATGTATGAATCATTTATATTTTTTGAATATTTTATTTTTAATAAGAAATTAAAATTATTAATTATATTAGAAATACTCAACTTAAGATTATATATATAATCATGAATTATAAATATGAAAAATATAATTATTAAATTTAGTTTAAAAATATATAAATCTTAAATTTATTCTTTTAAAATATTGTATCAACTAATATTTAAAAAATATATTAAATCTATCAAACAATTTATCAAATATAATATTTTTTATTGTAAAAAAATATAATATTTTCCCATCATTTATTGCTTTCAAATTTTTTGCTGAAGTTCAAATCTCATTATTTCCATTTTCCATTATATTCTTTTTTTCTGGCATTGGTCATACTATTAGTATATGTATTATTGTATATCTCTTAACACAAACGATGGTATTAGCTTAGTGGCTCCACCCTGTATCTTTCATTTGCGTGACTCAGGTTTGAGTTTGCCCAAGACCCAAATTTTACTTCTTTGTAACTTAATTTTCTTCTAATTAGGTGGTGACATGTGTCACCAATAACATATATCATGATCATGTGTTAACACATGTCAGATCCTGGTTAAATGATTAATTTATTAAATTTTATTTAATTTAGGACCAAATTGATAGCATATATAAATAATTAGGTGGTGACATGTGTCACCAATGACACGTGTCATGATCATGTGCTAACACATGTCAGATCCTAATTAAATGATTAATTTATTAAATTCTATTTAATTTAGGACCAAATTGATTATATAAAAATAATAAAGACTGAATGTATAATAATGTCAATTCCTTTTAACTGCCACTTCATCATTTGTATCAATTGGTAACGACTAGTGGCTTAGTTGAAACAGTTAAATAATTATGTTGTATGATTGATAAATTTAAAAGATCGACGACAAAAGTAAAAAGGGCTAGATAGTTAAGTTGTCAACCTAGTAGTTTACACTTTTATTTATACGTCAAAATAACATTTTATAAATTTAAAATTCGAATTATTTTCAACCTCTTCTATATCCTAACTACTTTTTTTAATTAAAAAATTTCTACAACAGATAAGAATTATATTATTATTATATTTATATAAAAAATACGTATCACATGAAATAAGATGAAATTAAATAATAATAAATCTGACATAATTGAATTTAATTGAATTATTTTGGAATTTAGGGTTTAGAATGAAATTGAATTACTTTGGAAATTGGGGTTTAGAATGAAATTGAGGACTGTTTTGCAAGTTTTAAAAGTTGGGGAACCTAAATTCAAGTGTCTGAAAAGTTCAATAACCTTTTATATAATTTACCCTAATTTCTAACGGTGGTTTAAGTTGGGGACCATATTGCAAACGGAATAAATGTTGGGGGACTGTATTGCAAGTTTTAAAAGTTAGGAGACCTAAATATAAGCTTCAGAAATGTTCAGTGACCATTACTATACTTTACCCTTGAATAAATTCAAAACTTCTTAAAAAAAATAATTCTTTATTTTTCATTGAGTCCACTATAAAATTACACCCCATGTGCATGTGCTGTTAATCCAAGTCATCCCCACTGGTTCCTGCTGACTGCACCAGAATCTGGCTCACTTTTCCCCGTCTTCAGACCAACTGGATATTTTTTTCACTTCTCAGTCAGAAAAAATCAGTCAGAAAAAAATTATTTTTTTTTCTAACGATCAAATGTATATATTTATGTATTATTACCAGGGTAAATATTGTACTATAGTAAAGCCACCTTTGTCAGTGATGATGCCCCCCAGTTTATCATCTTTGATTAGAAGTTTCACTTGGTTGTCTCACTCGCCGCCACTGCGAATTCGAGCAGTTTTCGCTACTAACTCGAAATCATTCCTTCGTATTCATCCTCGGTATCTCCATTGTCGTCTTCGTTATCTTGAACCACATCCGGGTTTTCCCTGTCAGCTTCTTCTTCCATCAATGACGCCTGACGGATGACTTCTTGCTGCTGTTGCCATTGCTGTTCCGGCCGCACCATTAGTGGCACCATCGTGCTGTCGGGCTTGGATAACTTCTCTTTGTAAAGAGCATCCAGCTGGTGGAAATATGGGCATGTCTTGGAATATTCGGGCCTCGTATTGTTGTTTTCTTTTACTTTCTTGTAGTATTTGTTGATGTTTTCCCATTTCTCTTTGCATCTCTTGGAACTCCGATTATATCCCAGATTTCTCATGGCGGATGAGATCTCCTCCCAAAGAGGACCCTTCGCTCCATTATTTTGATACTTGATGTTAAGATTGGTTCTAAGCTTTATCAGAGCCTCGATTTCAGCTTTTGGCCATCGTGAAGGATTTGGTGAAACTGAAACTGGAACCACATTATTATTATTATTATTCCCTCCAGTATCGAAATTCAAGGCTTCGGTTGGCGGTGGTTGTGGTTTCGGCCGCTGCAATGGAGGCGGTGGAAGCGAAAACGGTACCGACATCGGCTTCACAGGAGGAGGTGGTTCTGGTGGAGGATTCTCTTGTCGCGGTTGCGGTTGCACCTGCACCGTACTCGGTACTTGCTGTCCCGATATGTTTTGCAAGAATGCAAGCACTGCAGCATCTTTGGCAGCCGCCTTGGATCTTTCCTGGACTAAAATCTCGTGTTCTTTATTGATCCCTGCCATTTCTTGAATCCTCCAAGCTTCTTCTCTAGCCATCCTTTTCTGCTCGTATTTATCTATGGTTTGCAAGAACTTGTTCTGCAGCTCCTCTTGCTTATCAATCACCTCCTTTGTCAGCCTCTTGAAAAACTCCTTCCATATTTTCCTCTTCTTCCCACTGCTTCCTCCATAGGAATCGTCGTTGGACGTGGTCGAAGAAGAATTGCAAGTGGAGAAAAGATTCGACGACAGATTAAACAAACAAGGATTCATAGAATGCATAGGAACCGCCTTACTTGAAATTGCAGATTTCATTATCGGTACAGTGACATTGTTTGTTCGAGGTACATTAGTCGGATTCGACGTCGAAACCGATATCGGCTTCAAAGGTAACAACGATCGGAGTGAATGAACATTATTGTTTTGAAAGGCTTCTAATTGATCGAAGAAACGGTAAGTCTTGGCCTTGCTTGTTCGGCCATATTTGGTTCTCTTGTGGTACTTGTAAACATTCTCGAATTTCTCTTTGCATTTCTTGGCACTTCGATGATATCCAAGCTCAGATAGTTTCCTGTTAAAAACAGGTTTTTTTTCTCTTGTTATAAATCTATCTCAAGCCCGGCAATGGAACAAAATAAAAGAGCCCCATGGGCACTCACAAGAAAGTAAAGACCTAAGCAGCTAAGGTCACATGGGAAACTCACAACCCATGTTGGAAGTATATGTAGACATTTATTAGGCTGACAGTGGACAAAAAGCGAAAACAGATCATCTCTGATATCACCATCTGGGTTTTTTATCTGTGTAAAACTTTAAGTTTAAATGCTTGAAAGAACAGCAGTTTGACAAGATAAGGCTGAAATCAATTCCCAGTTCGTAAAGCACTGAATTCCACTTTCTCGGATCCCGAGAAAAGTAATCAATAGTAGTATATATCATATGAAGCTATGCACTGTTTATTTATCTTAAAATAGAAACCTTAGAGCTGAGTTTGGAAATCAAAATCCAGTGATCCTCATGCATGATCAGCTGAAAAGATGGATTAAATTCTCCATCCAATGAAGCAAATACCAAATAAAAAGAAAAACGAATTCTAGCTCACCTAGAAACCTCTTCCCACAGTGGACCTTTGGGAATTGAGTCCCGGAAAACAGAATGCATGTCGGAACGTATCTTCAACAAAGCTAAAGTCTCTTGCCTCGGCCACCGATTTCCTCCGAAACTCCGGTCACCTTCATCGACCCGACCTTTATCTTCTTCGCCTTCACTTCCGTCATGGATTCCAGGCACCGTTGCCGCTTCAGCAGAACCTTCTACCATACTTGAGTCCCCCATCACAGGAGTCTCTCTTGGCAATTACAACACCAAAAAAGGAAAGGAAAAGAAAAGAAATAGTATAACAAGCGCAAGACGAATATTATCAATAGGGTTTTATGTAAGATAGATATACGGTGAACTATTTTACTTTATTGTTGGGTGTGAATCTGCCTGTCCATCTCAACCCCTCAATAAATAAATTAAAATGAAATAAAAGCAATTTGCAAACAATAACCTTTTTCTTCTTCTTTTGTAATGTTTAACTTACATGGCAGCTTACAGCTATTTTTCGCTTTTGCTGGTGAAAAAAAAACCAAATGGTTATCTGGATTTTTTATGCTAGTAAATATAAAGGGAGTAGATAGCTGAATTATAAATAAATAAATTAGGATAAATATATTTGTATATTTTATAGTAAATATACATAAAAAGGAAGAAGATATATGAATTATAAATAAATAAAGGTAAATAAATTGTATTAATTTTTTTTATTAATATAAAGTGATTACATGATAGTATCTATTATAAGAATTCTCAGCCCTTCGACAATTAAAACTCAAACATTCTTACCGTCTTTAATGTTTAAAATTAAAATCTTTAAGGATAACAATAATCTATTTGACAGTGAAAATATTTTGATTCATATTTTATATTAATTTTAAATATAAGAAATAGTAATGGGAAATTTATTAGCAACAATGGCTACGGCTACAGACAGTGAGGACAGGAAAAATGAGTCGGGGGTAAGGCATGTAGGTCAGCTTCGCTTATTGTGACGTTTGGGAATTAAGTTGCCGTTGGTACACCTAAGACTGAAATTACTACTAACCCCTTCCTTGTATCCCGTTGCTAATGTATTCTTGTATACGCGTCTATGTTTTTACTGTATACTTTTTAACTTATAGATAATCGATCATAAGCATGAATGTTGTTATTCTTCTCAAATTTTTTTAGTGTAATAACATTTTAAGTCATTTTTAGTTTAAATATTAGTTAATAAGATCTCTGACTCTTCCAATTTTTATATTTAAATACTTTATTAAATTTTGTTTTTTCATTGTAAATAAATTAGCCCTTCCAAATGTTTAATCCTAGCTTTATCCGTGTAAAATACATACATACATATATATATATATATATAATATCTTTTTTATATATAATATTTTTTATATGTAAGATAGACAAGAGTAAAATTTCAAAATGAATATAACAAATAATATAAATAACTAATTGAATAGAATTTAATTTTAAAATAGACATGTATCCACTCCAATTATAACATACATTCGCCGGTCTAATGAATTCAAATAAGACAATTCACTCTCTACTCTACACCACTATCATTGCAAAGCAAAATTCAATGTAAATTTGAATTATACTAGTAAATGGAGCTTTAATTTAAAATTAGAGTTAATTATATTATAGGTCCTCAAATTATAACCCTCATTTTAAATTCATCCCTAAACTTTTGAATGTTTCAATTTCATCCTTAAACAATGAGTCTCGTTCTAAATTAGCCCTTAACTTTTGAACATTCTAATTTCATCCCTAAACCATGACTCTCTTTCTAAATTGGACCCCAAACTTTTGAATATTCCATTTTCATCCCCAAATCCATCCAAATATGTAATTAGTTTCAACTATGATTTAACCTATATTTTGTTTCTTTTCAAATATATAATAATACAACTCTTAAAATTTGGACGTGAGTAGTGTATACATACAGTTTGGTATGAAATTGGAATGTTCAAAAAGTTTGGGGACCAATTTAGAATGAAGGTCATAGTTTAGGGATGAAATTGAAATATTCAAAAGTTTGAGGATTAATTTAGAATCATGGTCAGAGTTTAGGGATAAAATTAAAAAATTAAAAGCTTAAGGACCTATTTAAAACGAAAGTCATATTTTAAGAACATATAATGCAATTAACTCTTAAAATTACAAAATCAAGTTTCAACCAAAATAATGTACTCGTCAAATTTCAAATTTCGCACCCAAAAGATTGTACATATGAACCATTTAACAACAACAACAACAACAAAACCCAATTCCCATATGTATGGGGTAAGGGGGAGGTAGGGTAGTAGGCTGCCCCCAACGCCAGGTTGAGAATAGCTTCCGTGAAAGACCTCCGGCAGTCAGAAAATTAAAAATATAGATAAAATGCAATGCATGTATAAATAATTACATAAATACATAGCTAAACAGTATTCATATGCAGTCATTAATATCATATGTGCTTCTGTAATGGGGAGTAATCCCTGCAAAATAATCCCTACGAAAGAGTCTCTGCATATAGACAGAAACCTAAGACCCAGCTAAAATTAACAGCGGAAACATGATGAGAATGATACACATGAGACAACGATAGCAAGCCCAGTTCTAATATTTCATAAATACCAATAACAGAAAAGTATTAAAAGTAAAAGTCAAGGAAATAACTACAAATGCATTTAAAAGAAGACAAAGATGATACACCCTATAGATGTGACCCACACTACTCGACTACCCTAGTCTTAAGCCTCCATAATTTCCTATCATAGGTCATGTATTCGGTAAGGCCTAAATCCCTCAAATCAGATCTCAAGCAGTCATCCCACTTCCGCCTTGGTCGTCCTTTCCTTCTGGCACCGTCGACTGTAATCGACTCTACCCTCCTGACCGCATCCGACGGTAGTCGCCTAAGGACGTGTCCAAACCACCGTAGTCTTCTCTCCCTCATTTTTTCGGAAACAGACATCACCCCTATGGACATCCTAATAGCAGAGTTTGTCGTCATATCCCACAGAGTCCTACCACATGTCCATCGAAGCATTCTCATTTCTGCGGCCTCTATCCTCCTAACGTGATCCTTCTTGGGTGCCCAACATTCTGATCCATACAACAGCGCTGGTCTTATTGCCATTCTATAAAATTTTCCCTTAAGTTTTAGAGGCACCTTCTTGTCACACAAAACTCCAGTAGCAGCCCTCCACTTTAGCCATCCCGCCTTTATACGGTGTGTAACGTCATCATCTACACCCCCATCTTTATGTATCATAGACCCTAAGTACTTGAAACAATCCTTTGAGGGAAGAACGTGTCCTTCTATGCATACTTCTACATTTTCATCATTTAACCGACTGCTAAATAAATGATGCAAGATCTCATGGATCCATCTTCCGACCTAATTTTTTAAGCAATAAATGTATCCATAAATATACTTTGAGGTATAGAATTTTGACTTGCATCAATTTTGTGTGTGCGAATGAGATTCTTTTCTCAATGAATATTTTTTTCCTCAACAAAAAGTTGAAGGACTGATTTTGATTAATAGAATAAATTAAATAATTTGCAGTTGAACCCTCTAAGGATGATAATGCCATACCTCAAGTTTTCAACTCAATTATTGATATAGAAATTAACAAATTGAAAGCAATAGGCGTGCACCAGATTCTTTTGTATATAATGCAAGAGAGCGGGACCCAGTCATCAATATGACATTATAACCATAACATATGATGGATTATTTGTGTTTAATACATACACGCAAATCAAACTATATATCATCTAACGACGACTAAATGTAATATTGTAATAATTGAGTTCTCGGTTTAGTTCATTTACTGTTGGTTAAATAATAATTTTTTATTAGATAATTTAAAATTAATTCAATCAATTGAACTATTAAATTTTAACTTTAATTTTTAATTATTAATAATTAATAATTTATTTAATTAGCTTATCATTTTAATATAATTTTAAATAATCACAGCTTAAATAAAACGGAGGAGGTCAAGTGTTAGGGCTCAAGCACACATAATTAAGTTATAACCTGACTGGTCCCATTTTCTCGACTTTTTTTTTTTTTTTTGTCTTCGTCTTTCTCAACTCATTAGTTAAATAAATATTGTAAATAAAAATATATAATGTATTTTTAGTTATTTTATGTAAATATAAAAATAATTAAAATAATATTTTTAACTTTAACAGATAAAGTTGTTTAATTTATTTATTTCAAGAATTAGTGTTAAATTAATGTTGAATTAACATCAGATACTATCTCAATTAAAGATTTAATAATAATATAAATATTATTATTCGACGCGTATATATATATATATTATAATCATGTTGAAGGAGGAAGCCAAACTATAGTATTGAAAAGATAAACTTTTGTAACTGAAAAAAATGTTAAATCAAATGATTAGTTTTTTAAAGACCCAATTAAATAATTTAATTATTTTAACTTGTAATTTATTGAGTTCGTGTAATTGCATCTGTAAAATATGTGCGTATTATCAATAAGTTAAGAAAGTTATGAAGAAATACTACATTATAATCACATCATAATATTAAAAATATTATTTTAACTCGTGATATTTACCCAATAAAAAATTTAATAAATAATATAGATATTATTAATCAACGCAAATTTATCTGTTTTTTTTTTACATAATCATATTCAGGGAGCAAATCGGAACTTTTGTATTGAGTAAGCTGAAATGAAAATTTTTGAGGCTAAAACTGTACTTCTGTTTTGATAAAAAAAATTAAAATTAAATGATTAATCTTTGTGAGGACCAAATAAGTAATGTAGCCATTTCAGGTGGGACAATACCTATGCCATTCTCCCTTGGTCTCCCCTATCATGTTTGAAGATATTTATATAAATTCTAAGAAAAATATTAATTTATATTAATTATAATATATTGGGGGATTAATGGAGATGCCCATCTTATTTCAAAAGGTGCCTTTTACTTTTCTGGATGTATTGATTCATCACATGGCGCCAAGAAACTGATAGTTTTATTTCTTGCAAGTAATGTAAAGTACACAGAGCTACTGATATTTTTAAAATTTTATCTTAGAGTAAATATATATTTTAATATCTTAATTGGTTTCCAGGTATAATATGATATTTAATTTCTTCTGATCAATTAGATATATAAATTTGGTTTTAAAGTTTAATTTAGATTTTATTTTTTTCTGTATAATTAAGTGTCTGAACCTGACTTCTTGATTCAATTAGTATATAACCTTCATGTTTTTTTTATCCAAATCAATACTTATGATAGATGGATTATTTGAATTATAAAATTAAATTTAAATACCTGATTAAACAAAAACAGTTGATACTAAATTAAAC